CGTCATCAACAAATTCATATTCTTTCAGTTCAGCTTCTAAATCCTTTTCCCATTGTTCCTCTATATATGCAAGAACAACAACAACAACAACAACAAAGAACACATCAAAAATATTTTGTTACTTTGATATTTTTAATTGAAAATTTGCTACAAACTAAAATAAATATATATATATATATTTATGGAATTGAACATAAAGTAGCTTTTAAATTATTTTCAAATTTTTTTATATATTTGTATAAAGAAAAAATGAAAAAGAAGGAAAAAAAAAAAAAATTAAAATAATTATTCAAGCATTCATATTCAAGATTTAATCCTAAAAGAAAAATTATGCAAATCGGATTTGATTTTAATTAAGCAAACACGTATATATATATTGCATATATTGTACATTTTATGGCGCCTTAGGCAAATGAATATATAATTAATTTGAAATAAATTATAATAAAATCATTTCAATTATTATGCTTACGCTTAATGAGATTCAAAATCGAAATTACCTATGTATGTCTGTCTGTTTGCCTATTGTTAACCCGCTGCTGCCACTTTTCATAAAAATTAACATAAAAGTTTCATATTTAGGCCTGCAAAGCGTATAATGACCAAATCCTACAAAGCTGAGAGCTGGAATCCAAGAATTTACAAAAGAAAAAAAATTCCTAAACAAGTGAGAAAATTCGGCTGCGAACGAAATTTTTATACCCATTACCGTTATTTAAAAAAAAAAAAAAATAATAATCAAAAAAGAGATAAAACGGAATTTCCATATTCTGTAATGTTGGGTGGGCATGGCTGATTTGTTTTCCGTAAAAGTATCTCCGTATTCGGCGATTTCGGTGGGCGCGGCTGAATTCTTTTTTACTTTTGTAGCATAAAAAGGAAAATTTATGTGGTGCGTGCCTGGCGCCGATATCTCCATTCTTGCAGGCCATGGTAAGTTTATTGCAGCAGTAAACAGGCTGCTTTCTGGATGTTGCAAACGAGTAAAAAACCAAATTGTTTTGGTTTTTTAAAACGGGAATGATGGGTGCATACTTTGACCAATTTCAACATCAAACCGCGTGCAAGAACTGGCTAATGCCGAATTTGGCCCAGACGACACTTTTTTCCCAACCCAAAGGGGAATGTTTATCGCAGGCGTTGCACAGACACACACACACACACACAAGCACACATGTTTAAGTCGTTTTAGAATGTCACGCTAATGGGATTTCCGAAGTTTCCGTCTCGTTGTTGCAAGCGTTTTAAGAAAATGATCGCACCCCCCCGCCCCCTTCCTTCGGTGATGGGTACAGAAACCTTTCTTTCAAAATTCCTAAATAATACCTTGTCGCCAATGCCTTTCAAGCTATAGAAGCTGCAAAGTCAACATTTAAAATACAGATATCGTTAACAGGCCCCTTTTAAATTAATGTGTCCTAAAGTGAAGTAAAAATTGCATAACCCCTTTGACTATTTCTTATATTTTCTTCTGGAATGGAAGGTTAACCTTGTTTGAAAAATCTCGAAAACTACACCCCTGCCTATGCCGTACCTTCTCTAAGAATATGAGAATTCACAGCTATGTGTAACCCATTCATTTTCACGGTTCACCAATGGAAGTTCGGGCGAAATTGAGCATATTTTTCTAAAGACTTTAGTTTTCTACGATTTCAGTTTTTTTCCTTTTTTTTTAATTTCATTTATTTGTTTAAAATCATTTTGAATCATTGTTAATACCAAGATTTAAGAAAAACACAAAAGAAAAAAAATAGACGAACCAAATATGAATTAAGAAATTAAAGCGAAAGATATAGAAAAAAGCTTTACATACGATTATGTATAGATATATTTATATATACAATTACACATATATATGTGCATGTACTATAAATATAATTAAAAAAAAAAAAAAATTTATATATATGTACAATTGGAAATGTCAAAAAAAAAACAAAAAATAAATATAATATATATAATTTTTTAGGAAATATATTTAATAAAAATTTATATACAAAATATTATTAAGCAAGAATGGAAATAATCATTTTATGGTATATATATATAAATCCACCTTTTTTACTTTTGGAAATTTCCCCTAAATTAAATTACGAAATTATATCACAAGCCCATTTTTCCACCTCAACCATAATAAAATTTATTGCAATTGAAAAGCAATTATTAGATGGAAACATTTATTACCTGCCTATGCAGTACGTAATGAATTAATTTTTATGAGAATCGTTATGATGGAAATTTAAACATAAACCTTGACACACATTGACTGTTTTGCGGAAACGTATTGTAACTGAAACGTAATCTTGAAAAAGTCGAAAATAAAAAATAAAAACAATCATGTTAAGTAATTAAATAAAATGATTTAACAAAAAAAAATAAAAAAAAAGAAGAAAAATCCTTCTTAAAATAAAAATACAAAAAGGCCGTTTTTATTAATTAATTAAATTTCCTTTCTTGCTTTTTACAAACTTAAAAATGATCTACCGAAGTAAAAATATAATCAAAAATCATTCATGCTACTAGGATAAAAAACGCTTTAGAAAAAAGTGCCTTTTTCTTGTAAATATAAAGATAATTAAACAAAAGAGAAAATTTATATATCTATCTACAGTTTTACTTTTTGATTTTTCATTTTGTTTATTTATTTATTGATTTTTTTTTTGGTTTGTTTTTTTTTTTTTTTTTTAATAATAAACTTGCTAGGATTCAAAGGATTTGTTTTCTAGTTAGTGTGGTTGGAAGTTGAGAAGGAAAGCAGATTTAAACTACTAAGGCATTAAAATAAAATGTTCGATAGTATTATTTTGTGTGGTGAGTTAATATAAAATTAAAATATGAAATAAATAAAGTTCGCATAAATAGATTTCGAAGGGTGTCGTCGCTGCTTCGTAAGAATTTTTACAGCTGCAAAATTTTGATTAATTTAATTTTCTCTTCGATTAACTTCATCTAAGATTAACTTTAAGTGGCTTTGAAAGTTAAGCATTTTTTTTATTTCTTCTGTGCTTATTTTCTTTTGAAAAGAGATATGGAATTGCAATCGATAGGTTTGCATCAATAATCAAACATTTTTCTGGAATACAAGAATTAATCGAAACTTCATGGAAATGCCTCTGAACCACTTGTGCTACAAGGGTATATTCATTTTATGCCTATATGTGTAATAACCAGAAAGACTTGAGATCGATCCATCTTTAATTATATCGATCGACTCTGAATCACTTTTTCAATCTATTTAAGTCAAATCGTACAGCGCACCTTACTAAAAGAACAAGTCTTTATACAATTTTAATTGCCGCAATCAGTAGGCACAAGAAGATATATACAAAAAAAAAAGAAGAAGATAAGACGTCAAGTTAACATATAAACTTTAATAAAAAGCATGTCAATAAAGACTTGATGTGTAATAAAACAAAAAAAAAAAAAAAAAGAAAAAAAAAAGAAAGGTAGAGAAAATAATTGAAATAATAATAAAATATTAATTGATTGTAAAAATATTCAATTAGCATTTGTTTTTTTTTTTTTTGGTTTTGTCTCCATAAAAAATTCATAAAAATAACTAAACACACACACACATTTATATACATATAGTTAATAATTTTTATATATATCGTGTGAAAATTTTGTATCAACGAACACGACAAACAAAAGGAGAAGAAAAAAAAATAAATAAAATAACGGAAATGCCTCGCTACAGAACATAACAAAACAACCCATTATAGTATATATGCCTCTATATATGATAAATTTTATAAATAAACTAAACAAACTAAAATTATCTGCAAATTATAATAAAAAGAACTTTTTTCTCTTTTATCTTTAATAAGAACGAACGCAACAAATTATTCATTTTTAAGTTTTAATATATCCACCACCTAAACTAGGCACGAGAAAACTCGAAAAGTTTACATCTACCTTATCCCGATAATCCCTATTTACCTACTTAACTATAGAGTAGGCGGCTGATTATGGCTTCGGCGACTTTTTTTTATTGTTATAATATTTTGAAAAACAATCCCATTACAAACAAGAAGGGAAAACGTTGCCTGACATTCTTGGATTATAATGATTAGAAGTGAAGATTTATTTGTTTATTGTTACACCCTACACTATAAATTATGCAATATTATATTATGCAACACCTCGACATACGATTTTCTGAATTGATTTAAGCTTGCATGTCCGCCTGTTCGTCTTGTATGCTTGTCGCAATTTTCGAAGTAAATTTTGAAGTATTTAAGAAATTTTGTAGATTGCCAGGTTTTGATCCAAAGACGATGATAGCCTTATTTAAAATTGTGATTGTGATCGGACTACTTTTCCGACCTTATTTTGGAAAGTCGTTATACGAACAATGGTATTAAACCAAGTGGTGTAGGGCCATGGCTCACTCCGCACTCACTCCTCACATGTTCCAAGTTTCTTTTTTTTCATCATTGTCAGCGATTTCGAAATTCAGATTTTCTTTTTTGAAATTCCAAAAGGCAAAATAATGTCAACATATATGAATTAATAAAAGATTGGGTGGTGGATGTTAGGCGATTCGCTTCAAGCAGAATATATCGAATTTTTAAAAGAAAACATTTTTTTTTTTTTACGGAACTTACCACACAAAATGTAAAACTTTGTTTTTCAGATTTATGTGATTTTTTTTTTTTTTTTTTTTTTTTTTTTGTTTGATGTGTAATTTGGTTTTACTTTTGTATTTCTTTCTTTTTAATATTATTTTCTGAGTATATAATTTTCCTTTTTGAGTTTGTTTTATACGTAATAAGTTAATGTGTTTTTTTTTTTTTTCTTATCTTTTTTTGTTTTTCTTTTGGTTTGTTTTTGAAGGAAGTTAGTTGTCAATGGGATCTCGCAATTAATATTTTTTCCTCTGTTTTTTTATTTATCTTTTTTGAATAATTTGTTTGCTTTGTGGCTTTAGTTTGAATTTCATGTAATAAAATTTTGGTTATATTTTAGTTTTAGTTTTAGCGTAAATCCATTCAATCTTCTGTAACGTGATAGGTACGAAAGATAAGAAAAAATAAAGAAAAAAAATAAAATTACTTAGAATTTCGAATTTTTTGCTATTTTTCAATATTAAACGAATTTTTAATTAATATATATATATATGTAATATTTAAATTTCATATTTTGCGTTATAATATACGTTTTATAACTCTTTATCAACATATTTAAACCTTAATAACAACAAAATCAATTAAAAGAATATATACAGCAAAGGAAAGGAATGGAATATTTATCAAGGAATGGGAAAATTTAACTAATATCAACAAGATAATCATTGAGATCATCATGAGGATAGTAAAGGATATTGAAGGAAAGATGTTATCATAATCAACACAAATGCTTCCTTTTCTTGTTTTTTTTTTTTTTTTATTTTTTTCTTTTCTCTTTTTTTGTTTTGTGTAAATAAATTTTTTTAAAATTATAATAAAAAAAATTTTTTATAATTTTTTTTTTTTTTTTTTTTTTTTTTTAATAAATATCTTGTAGATAAAGTAGGGAATTATACTGTAAGAGTGTTGTGTTGGCTCTAAGTTAGAAAGGGCTAAGTTTCAATTTCGTTTCAATCTCTCTATATATCATAAGGATTTTAGTTTGGTTTGGTTTGTCCAAGTGTTGTGGTTTGTGATCTGTAATCTATAATTAATTATACGCTTTATATAAGTGATATAGTTAGTTTCATTTTTCATTATATTAATATTTTCTATTTATTTAATTATTAGGGTTAACGCTTTTAATAATTAAAAGTAAACGCTGTTCGTTTATTTCGTTGCGATTTTTGTTTTTGCAGGTTTTATCCAAAGAAAAAAGGAAGAAGATAAAAAAACAAAGTAGAAGAATAAGAAAAAGAAAGAGAAAGAAATAGAGAGAGAGATAGAGAGAGAGTGAGAGAGAGAGAGAGAGAGAGAGAGAAAGAAAAATACAACATTTATAAGGTTGTATTTAAATCAGTTGATATTGTAATTGCATTTATTTTGCCTGAAAACTAGGTTGATTGAGTTAATGAATGGTAAGAGTTAATAAAGTTTTAAGTTAATAAGAAAATAAAAAACAAAAATACGAGAATAATTGTGCAAAATAAATTTTTGTTCTTGTTAATAGACTTTTGGAAAATGTAGTTTTTATAGAGTAAAGTGATCAAATGGTCATATAAATGTATGTCAAGTGATGTTTGGAAAATAATGATGAATAATTGATTATATCGAAAACTAAACAGCACAAAATCGTCTATAAATGAATAATTTAAGCCGTGTGAATAACAACAATTTTAAACGAATTTCCTATTTTTCTTTTTGCTTTTTGCTACAACGCCTTAGACAATTATTGTTTGTCACCGAAGTTTATCTCATGCGAGAATTTTTGCTTAAAATGTCGCCTTTAGTTGATGTAGACTGTAGTGGAAAATTTGAAAAAACCCGAAAAAAATTAGTACGAATTTCCCCCAGTCACTGTTAAAGAAAACCACCATCAAATCCGATATATCTAAATATTCCCTTTTTGCATTTTTCCGTATAAAGGTCATAGGGAGTAGTACTCCTTACTCACTGCTTTAATGAAATTTTTATTTAAATATTTTGAATTTTATAAACAACTTTGCATATATAGTTTAAGATTGTTTTTTTTTTTTTTTTTTAAGTTTAATGTATTAAAAAATGTTTATGAAAAATAAATGTAACTAAACTTAAGTTCAAAATAAATTAATAAATAAAAATAACATAAAAACATATACACTTCTTCTTAAAGAGAAAGTAAAATAATATATATGTAAAAAAACAGAAAAGAAAACACAAAGTTTTTCTTACCATCATTACTCAAAATCGTTTGTTGCGCCTGTGCAGACAGCTGTGATTGCCGTACTTGCGTCATACTGTTTATGCCAAGTCGACGCATGCCATCTTTAATTTCTTCAAGATCATTTTCATTGTCATTGGATGATTGAAAAGCATCGGAAACAAATTCAGAATCCGAATTATGCTTTGAATGCAACATTGACTCAATTACTTGCGTATTTAAATGAGGACTTTTTGATAAAATTTCTTCTACTTTTGATGCGGACATTATATTTCCTAATGGTTTAGTTTCGGTAACAGTCTCTAAAGCTTTACATTTTTTTTTTTTTGTTTTTTTATTTAATTTTATAGTAATTTATAAGTTTTTAGTCAGTGAATTTGTTTTTTTTTTTTTTATATTTATATCATTATTTGGTGTAATGTTGTTGTTGAGGTGTTGTATTTTTTTTCAAAATATTTAATACAAAAAAAAAAAAAAAGAAAAAAAATTTAAATTATATAAAAAAGAGAAAAAAAAAAAATAAAACAAAATTAATAAAAAATTAACTAAACATATATATAAAAACATGAACTTAAAAAAAAATCATATATATATACTAAAGAATAAAGTGCACTGAGCTTAGGATCCACGGAATCGGCTATTGAACCAAATCCAAGCTTTTAAAAATACTTGAAATAAAAATTTGAAAATAATACATACATTGAAGCTTATCTTCTTTTCAATACAAACAATCCATTTTGTATATGTATATATACGCGTATACATATATATACATATATAGATATATATATATATATATACATACATACATACATATATAAAACAAATATTTGTTTTAAAAAAAAATTTTATTTGGTTACATTATGTGCTTGAATTGAATTGTTTACAGTGCTAGTTCGCAAGTTCAAATAAAGGCGAGAGATAGATACATAAATAGATAGATAGATAAAGAGAGAGAGAGCGAGAGAGAGATAGAGAAAGACAGAGAGAGAGAGAGAGAGAGAGAGAGAGGGGGAGATAGACAGAGAGTGGTTATAAAAAAAAAAAATAAAAAAAATAATTAAATAAATAAAAAATATAAATAAATAAATAAAAAGAAAAAAAAAAAAAAAACGAAATAATATGCAAAAACCAAAAAAAATTTTATTCTAAACGAAAACTTTAAAGATGTTACGAGAGAGAAATCGCTTGTTTTGGTTTGTGAAAGTGAATTAAGATTTGATCAAAACACGTTTATAAGAGATTTGATTATTTTAAAGAGTAGTAGTAGTAGGAGAGAGAGAGAGAGAGAGAGTTAAATTTACATATATATACATATATATTTATATATAAATAATTAAATAAATAAATATATATATATATATATATATATATATAATTTAAATATAACAGCCAAATAATAATAGCATTGAAAAGATATATGCTTATGAAATTCTTATTTTTAATTGATAGAATATTAAAAATAAAATATGAAAAACGAGTAATTATTTAAACGGGAAATTGGAGAACACCATCGGAAGCATCATTCCACGCTGAATTTTATTAAGGTATATATTAATTTTTTTGAAACAATGTTTTCAACATTAAATTCACTGACGTTGTGTGTTGTACACGTCTTTCTACCGAAACTCAGCAATTTGACGGGTAGTTTTGCTGAAATATCGTCACGTTCACAAAAATAGAGTTAGCAAACCGGAAGTTGTTAAAAGCAACAGTAAATTGACCGATCGATGGAATGACTTTTAAGCAGCGAGTAATGTTTACACAAAACCAATGCCCATAAGATAGGTGATGAAGACTTCAAGAAACCTACAATTTAACTTAGAATCGATCCAGAATTGAAAAACATAGTTCATAAAATGCAGACTTGAAAAAAAGCAGGAATTGAAATCGTAAATCAGAATTTGCAAATAGGAACTCAAACGTGGCTATGAAGTGAAAATTCAAATAAATTGTAAAATTTTTTAACTCTAAGTCGCATACGGTATTAGGGCTTATGAAGCGCATACACTTTATGATTCGATCTAAGCTTGTTTGTCTGCTTGACCTTTTTGTATTCTTGTATGCAATTTTTGATATATAGGTCTTGAGATATGGATTTTTGGTATCGATTTAAGTTTGTCTATCCGTCTATCCCTTTTGTATTCTTGTGTGTTTAGCCTTTAGATGACAATTCTTAAAGGATTTTGATGAAATGTAATCTGCCGACGTGCTTTGACCCAAGAACGCACGTCTTATTAAAACTGATTCGAAACAGATCACTCTTTCCGATACTCGCGATATGAAACCTTATTTTGAAGAATCGTTATATGTTTAATTGTATAAAACGAAATGGTGGGGTATATTTAATTGTTGGCCACGTCCAAATAATGTCTACTTAAGTCGTTGGCCAAAATCGACCCGAGTTTATTATTAAGATTTCAGAGAATTCTGCGAATATAAACATATCGTACTGTATTTTATTACAGTTTTGCTTTGTATGATTTATGAAATTTAAAAAAACATGAGCCCATTTGATCCAAGTTTTTCACAACAGTTTGATGTCCTGAAATACTATTACATCCTACCAAAAACTTCGCGCTGATATTTTAGTGTTGCGTCTATAGGTTCTCTTGCAAATTTTATTTTGTGTTCTGTGGTCCTAAACATTTTCTAATGATTGGCTCCCTGTTTGAACCGTCTGGGCTAATATTTGAAGGTCTTTATTATCATTCCAGAAAGACTTCCTTAATGCATTCTACATTTTTTCATTGTCTATGAAACTAAAAAGCATTTTCTTGCGGGCTTTTTGCTTGGCATTACATGGGGAATGATCGTAAAAATGATCGAAAATGAACGTGGGCCGAGCTGAACTTTTTTAAAAATTCGGTGATATTAGTAAATCGGGTTGGAAAGTTAACTATTAATAATAAATCGTTACAAGTGGATTTTATCCTTTAGCGTTCACCTAAAGCAAATTTCCCATTTTTTTTGCATTTGAATCGGTGACAAAAAATAAAAACAAAAAAAAAAAAAAAAAAAAAACATTTTTAAATAAAAATATATATCTTCTCTTGATAGATATTATGATTATGCGCAGAAGGAGATAGCAAGAATTATAGAGAGTGAAATAAAACTGACAAATGATATACGAGAGTGTTGCAGTTTATGAAATCAAAAGAAAAAAAAATAGGAAACATATGTAGAAAAAAAGTTTAAGTCTTAAACTTACCATCTTCACCACTAGAAGCTTGTGCTACACCATCCTCACCTAAAGTACCTAATTCGGCTGCTTGGATTATTAAAGACACGCGGTAGAAATAATTTCTCCAAAAGTTTTCCTCTGTTATACTAAAAAGTTATTCAAAAGGGAATAAAAAAACAAAAAAATAAACATAAAAAAAGGAAAAATTCTTGTTATAAAAAATTTCTCGAAAGAAATATACATCTCCTCACATTTTGGGCACCAATTCAAAGCGCATATTTTCCAGTGCTTTATCCTCAGCCATAATGGATACAGCTGTAGGATAAGCGGTGTCGTAGTTGAAGTCGAAATCGACGCCAGCTGGAGGAGCGCGCACAAAGTTGCGTCTATCTTGTGACAGGCCCAAGATTTCTTCTTTAATTTTTGCCTCATTGGCATGGCCGACCCATGGCGCCACACCTTGGCCACCATTACCAGCTTGACCTTTAATAAATGCCTCTTGCTCTTTATTGAACGATTCCAAAATAGGCTTTAAATTACAAAATAATAATTAATTTTACATAGAGCGTTTTAAGCGTTTTTTTTTTTTTTAATTTTTGCCATAAAAAAAACCTACATTTTCTTTGACTGTCTCCTTAATCCGTGTGCCAGCCTTACTAATGGCTGAAGTTAGGAATGAACCAAAATGTTTGGCTTGTTGTGTTACTTTTGTGGTAACTACAAAATTTATTAAATGCACAGAAAATTTTCGTTAATAATAAAATTTTTGTTTTTTTTTTTGTAACGTGAAAATAGTATTATGCTAAATAATAAGGAAGACAGGGTATGCGGTTAGATGTGCAGAGAAAAAGAAGAAAAGGAACCGACTAACATCTACAGTGATTAGAGGGGAATTGAATTTTTTGTTTTTTTTTTTTTTTATTGTAAAGTTTATTTACTAGTTGTAAGTAACCTGTCACGTTTACCCTTCATTTCGTTTTTATAAATTTTTAAGATTTATATATTATTGAAAATAATTTTAAAGAAATAGATTTAAAAAAATTTCTTTTGTTTTTTTTTTTTGAAAACTTTTTGTTAGTATGTTGTTTTACCAATTTCGCTGTAGTTTTTAGATTTGTGACACGTACTTTTTACCTCTTCTCCCTTACCCTGTCCTATTTGACCCTCATCGTTGGTTGGTGTACCTCCGCCGGAAGCTGGATGGGAGTCGGCTCCTTCTGTAGCGCTATAAAATAAAAGTTGAAAAAGATTTACATTTTTTTTCTTTCTTTTCTTTTTAAATCTTATCTAACGGCGATATTCTCATACATAAAGAAAAAATCTACTATTGGAACAGCAATATGCCGGCTATATAGAATCTCTACTTGATACATGCAAAATAGGCCTTTTTCTTTGTCTTTTTTTTTTTGTTTTTTTTTTTTGGAAACATCCAAACATGCAGCATAAGTTTTTCTCTAAACAAAAACATACTGGCACACACATAAAATTAAGCAAAACATAACATGAGTAATATCTAACGTTCTAAGGTTCGTTCAGTGAATTGAATCCTTTAACCGTAAACTTAAATAACTATCGAGACAGCATACCGCGACTTTTTACTTTGGTTGAATTTCGTGGATGTGTTTTACGCTTAAAAATGCTCTAACATACTACCTGATATTGCCCAAAAAAAAAAAAAAAAAAAAAAAAAAAAATCTTTTCGATCAAAATGAATAAAACTAAGTGGCAACACTATAGCAGGACGCGACCGGCCATTAAATATTCTACACCACTTCGTGCAGAGGGTGGTCGAAAAAGTGCTCCGACTTGAACCATTCACAAATCGTTCGTCCTCTAGCAAAAGCCATCGGTATGTCAAATTTCACCAAACTATCTCAAAAATTGTAAGTTGAACGCAAGAATGCAAGAGGGTCAGACAAGCTTCGATTCCGAATCATTTTCTGAATCGATCGTTATAATAAGGGGGTGGGGGGGTCTACTTTTGAAAACAAAAAATTAGAAGCAAAAATACAAATAACTAATAAATGTTTCAAATATTTTGCTCTTTTTCCGTATCAATCGTTTGGCAACTGCGCGTGCGTGTTGTGGTCGCGTTTTAATTCTGTGCAAGAAATATTTCAATTTCTTAGTGTATTTCTTAAAAATTCTTTAAAGGAATAAAGAGTGCAATTTATTTATACATGAATTATTATTTTTTTAACTTTTTAATTTATTTTTAAACATACTTTGTTATTATTATTCTTTTTTTTTTCTTCCTTTTCATTGTATTCTAGTTTTAAAACGATTAGTATAAGATTTTCTATTAAGATGCACTGAATTCGACTGTAATTTTCTTTAGTTGAATTTCATGTATAAATGGGTAAAATAAAAAAAAAAAGGGAAAATAAAAATAAATAAATAAATAAAATAAATCAACAATCAATTCTTAACCACTTCCGAACCATTTTTGCCCTTGAGCCAAAACTTGTCGGCCAACTATGACCTTTACATTGAACAAAAGAAAGCAAGACTAAGAGACAGACAAGGTCAAATCGATTCAAAAAGTGATTCTAAATCGATCGGTATATAATAAATGGTGAGTCTATCTCAAGCTCTTCTACATCTTGCACACATCCGTAAAAGCTTAATATACCTTTGCAGCAGAAGAGAAGAGCAGAGAACTTGATTCACTCTACGAAAAAGAGTATATAGGAAAAGAGAAAGCAGAGATATAATGGCACGCGATTAACGCTTAAATTTAAATGCTACCTAAATGCGATCAATAGCCTGCGTTTCATGGTAGTTAAGAGTTTACAGATAAAATTGTTTCTTATTAAAAAAGCTTTTACTTTTATTTATCTTCCTATCTATTAAATTTATAATAAATAAGTAGCATAGAATAGATTTCAAATATATAGTATGTTGCACATATGAGAAAATATTTACAAAAATGTATGATTGTTTTGTTGGATGATTGATTGAAATGGAAATTTCTGAATGATATTTAAAGAGAACGAAAACTGCCAAAATGTAAAGTTGTAGAGAAAGCTTTTCAAGCAGCAAAGATTAGGGGGGAAGAGATTTTATTTTAGGAATAGTAGTACAACAAAAGCAATATAGCATGTGATTAATTTTTTGTTGTGTGAAAGAAACTTAAGAAATTTTTTAACGTCTTTTGCTGTTATCGTGAAACGTTTAAAAGAGATCTGAGAGATGGCACACACTTCAAGTGTCAACTTTATTTATATATTGTGTATGCATGTATATATATTTATACACATATCTCTAATGTAACAAAATCATAACACTGCAGAACTACAACTCAAAAGTGAAAACATTGATATAACTATCGAAAGACAGACGTTTATAGAGAGAGATTCTTCGATTTCTTTTTTTTTTTTTTCTTTTTTTTTTTCATTATAATTTTCATTAATTTTTTTTTTTTTTAAGTTTACAAACAACGTAATTGCCGCAAGAAACCCGATGATGATAAGAGGAAATTAAAAAGACAACAACAATGAAAATTAAGAAATTAAAAAATTTGCTATCGTTCACTATATGTTGACCAATTCTTTTCTTGATCCTCGATGAAGTTGGTTTAATGGGCCAGCAGCACCTATTAATGATGGAAATTGATGCGTTGCGGGCTAAACGATTTCTTTTTTAACGTTAATATGATATGCAATTTTTATCAATTTTCTATTAAAAATTAAAAACCAAAAAAAAAAAAAAAAAAAAAAAACAAAAGCAAATGATATGATTTCATGTATAATATGTGTGCAAATTTATTAAAAACCTAAACAAGGTCTCTTCTTCAGTTTTTAGTTTAGTTTTATCTTTAAATAACTTACCTGAAGTCTAATTAACTTTACTATGTTTATATATAGTAGAAAGAAACCTGGCTTAAGTTCATATCGATTACTTTTATGTACAAATAAGAATAAAACTTTTTTTTTCTTTTTATGAAAAGTGTGTTATATTTAATATACGTAACATAATTGCACAAGATGTGTGTTAACAAAACTGGTACATGTTAGGAGTAAGCAAATCGAAAAATTCAAAAAAGATCTTTTATATAATACTTTAGTATAAAAACTGTTACGTTTCTCTCAATTATCAAAGTATTAAACAAAAATTAATTATAATAGTCTTTTAATTTTAATATCAAAAAATGAATTACAATTTTTTTTTTTACTTTTACTTTTACTTTTTATTTAGAAAAGAAATCATGAAAGTAACAAAGTGGTAACGAAAGAGGATTGATTCTCTAAGGGATAACGCCATGTTATAAAATCGATTTAAAGAGGAATATGTAACGCAAGATATGCTTAAAGAGTTTAACAAAACAATTAAAGGTTTTAATTAAACAAAAATTAAATAAAAATACTGTAATGGGGCAGAATCGACCATAACAAATACACTGCACAATCCTAGACGGTATTCATATAAGGCTTAATGTGGGACGTGGCCGAAGATACGGCCCAATAAGAGCCATTTTCAATAGCGTTAGCTCGTGTTTAAACAGATTCAAAAAGTGATCCTGGATCGATCGGTATAAAAAAAGAAATGCGCCTATCTCAAGTCCTAATATACTTTTGCACCGCACTGGTGGTATGGGGCATAAAAAACGAAACAAGTTTTTAATAATTTCAAGTCATTAATGCATTTTATACATACACACTACATACATATGTGATAAGAGAAAAATAAAAATTTTCAAAGAAATTCTTCTGTATTCTCTTTATAATTGGCAAAGAAAAACTATTGGACTCTAGCTTTAGATCCTTTCCTAGTTTCTTAATTAAACAAGAGTACGTTAGAATCGGCCAAGACCAACCATTAACTACGTTATATCACTTGGCAATATTACATCGAAAGGTACACATTATTTTTATGCAAAGGCATAGTATTCCTAAAAAGCCGCATATTAGAGGATGCCCAAGATATCACATGACGTGATCCAAATTTAGCCAATTTGTAATTTAATTCCCAAAGGTTCGACTATTTTCCAGTTTTCGTCACAGCAAACTAGAAATTATACTTTCTTTCCCTATAATAGCTAGCTTTCCTATAGAAAGCCACGATCTAAAAATTATAACCTATTTTCGTATTGTAAATTTTTTCTCTAAATTGCTATAGGTCAATTTTCGTCGTAAATGTTAAAAATTAAACCTTTTTCTGAAGCGCCTACCATTCACAAGCCATTCTATATGAAGTGGGGTCCAAGAAATATGACCCATGTCGTCCGAATTTGGTCCACTTAATTTTTATGTCAAGCCAAGACCGTGAACAAAATTTCGTGATAACTCATTAACGAGTAGGCAGTTTTGATATATAAAGGTTCTCATTTCCTGACAACCCTTATATGCGGTGGTATTCAAAAATAAACCTACATATCGTGAAATGTTAAAACTTATACATTTTATCATGCAAATATTCGGTTTTCATAGGAAAGATTATATAAGAGGCGGTTTAAAAAATCTCCGCAGGCGGGCAGACAAGCTTAGATCGATTCAGAATATGATCCTGAGTCAATCGGTATAATAAAAATAGAATTTATCTTTAAACCCTTCTGGATGTGACATACGCCAGGATAAACTTCACATACTCTATGCCGCAAGTGAAGTAGGTTGCAAAAAATCGAAAAAACGTTCGAGAAAAATATTATTAACGGCAAACAGAAATATGAAATTTATGTTCTCCATGGATCAAATCCGTCCACGATGAGCCTAGTTTACCCATCGTCTATCCATCTGTCTGCTTGTGCAACTTTGCAACATTCTCCCGTTAGCGAGAATGAAGATATCGCCTAACATCGGCTTTGTTAGGCCGCGACCGAATCTAATTTGCGTACTTGTTTAAGAACAAAAGTCACCCAACAGCATCAACTAAACGAATGAATTGGGCCAAGTGCGCTCGCATTTTTTGTTGAATTAATTTTTTTTTTTTTTTTAATGGTTTAGTTTTATATATTCGCCTCAGTTGCTTCCATCTATTGGCAATGGACAGCGAATATAACTTTTTATGCTCTTTGTTTCTTATTTAAAGTTCAAGAAGAAATGCTGCGTTTATCTTTTCCCACATTTAATTTAGCGCGTTGAACGTATTTTGCGCCTTCAATTATATGCGAAACAATTTTTATTTTTCGACTATAGGAACATGCAGCAAATTGTTTTTCCACTTTTTTTTTTTTTTTTGTTATAATCTACCTAAGACTAGACAACATTTTTTCAAGTCTTTTTTTTTTTTTGAATGCTTTATTAATACGCTAAAACCATATACTAACTAAGTCTCTGCAAAAAACTACACAAAGCACTATTTGACAATCTTATGAAACTAGCGAACCAAAAAAAAAAAAAAAAAAAAAAAATTCATTGCAAAAAAAACAATTGTAAAACAAAAATGTTCAACCTTTGTTAATCATTTCAAAATTGCAGTATAGTTTCGGTGTTAGGAAGGTATAATATAAAAAGTTAACATAAAAAAAAAAAAAAAAAAAAAACTGAAACTGAAGAGAACTTTTTTGTCTTCTGAATAAATTTATAAAATAAAGAAGAAACGAAATTCTCTTTTTACCACAATTTCCACCTTAATCGGTTGTGAGCCCATTAATTACCTAATATACCTCGATTTGTCTTCATCATCAACACCCAAATTAGCCACGCCACCAGCGGCTGCTGCGGATAGATTTTCGCTGGCAGCGATTGTTTCATCTGCAGCTCCCATTTCTTCGTTTCCTTTACGCAAGCCAGGAATTGAAGGCATCGATGGCATGGAGGGCATGGCTGGCATCGACGGTATGGAAGGCATTGAAGGCATAGCCGGCATTGAAGGTATGGAAGCACTGCCTAGCCAACCTTTTGCACTGCCCAACCATCCGCTGTTTAAATAAATAAATAAATAAATAAGAAATTCAGTTAATACTTTGACGTCAAGTTCATGTAAACATCAAAAAATAGAAGGAATATATGAATATTTAGTATTTTAGAAATTTAGTATTTAGAAGTTGTATGCAATGTTGGATGTTTGTTCCTTTTCTCAAAACACAGGAAAAGTTATTATTCTTAAAAAAAAAAAAAATAATGAAAACGGACATGAATTCAGAGAAGAGACGAGCCAACTCGAATATGATGCAATGTTAACTGATTGAATGTATGTGTACATATAGTACACATAAATTGCATAATGAAAAAAAAATGTTAGTTGAAAGCAATAAATAGATTGCGTTTAACATTAAATAAATTTAAGTTAATTTAATATAACATTTAAAAGCATCCATCTCGGAAAAAAAAACTAGTAATGGCCACCATCGGACCCACAACGTTCATATCTTCGTTATGAAAGTTAACTTAAGAGGTAAAGAGGTAAGCCCCTCGCTTAGGTATTCAAAAATGATGGTTGAGCGCCTTCATGTGATCTATTTGTGTAACCACTTAATTCCAAAATTAACGGAAGTGATCAAGAAAACCGCCTAATCCGAATGATATTCCAAAAGCGCGTTCATATCTTGAGAATTGCAACCTCCAGGTTGGACGCAAGGCAACAAAATAGACTGGCGGAAAGACAAGCTCAGAAAAAATTCAAAAAATAATCGGTTGGATCTACTTCAAGACCTTCTGGCTGTTGCTTATTTATTTATTATATGTATCTTTGTATTTTATAAATGGTAGAGTAGCCTAGGAATTTATGTTAAGGTAATATTGAATCTATACAAAAGCAATTCTTGCTGTTTGCACTTAGGAATTTGGGTTGGGACCCGATTTCCCCTCTTCCACCCTATGAAAATAGGTTGCTTCTGTTATCCTTACCGTCACTCGAGAAACGTAGATTTGTTCTTGGGGTTTCCTTCCTAATCAAATTAATAAATGGTGCAATTGATTCGCCCGCATTACTTCGTGAGATTTGCTTTAATGTCCCTAACCGCTTCTCTAGGTACTTTATGTTGATAAAGCTTAGTCAATGCAAATATAACTTTGAACTGTTTAACCCGCTCAGAGTTGTTTGCAAGAACCTAAATGATGTCTATCATCTATTCTCATTAACGGACTCTTTAAAGTCTATTAAAGCAATATTGCTCAACAAGCGCGATTTACCTATGTCGTACTTAAACTGATTTAACCTTAGATTTTGTCATTATGAGTCGAAAATTAATTTGTTGTTAACAATTATCGGTTGCCAAGCTTATGCATGTTTGCGATGGCTTAGGGGTTCACTTGCAATTTGGTCCTGTATCGGTTGTGGGCGTGGCTCTATGCTAATTGTGTACATGCTTTTTTTTTTTTTTCTTTCTTTTTTTTTTTTCCTCCTTATTTGTTTTATTGTACTTATACTAAGTTTTATTATTAAATAATTTTAAGATTTACGTAAGAGTCAATTGAACTCGACTGCCATTTTGTTTTAGTTGAGTTTCTTGTATAAGTGGAATAAATAAATAAATAAATAAATAAATAAATAAATAAATAAAATATGTTAGGGATATGCGATGAGATTCTTTGGTGACACCAATCGAAGAATGCTCGAAAGTCGCGTTGTTTTTCCATTTCCGTAGAAAGGCTCTTGATTACAACCCGTATAGAATTATCTGAGTTAAATGTTGATTTTGAAACCGCAGGCATACATTATAATTTGGTATCGTGGTGAAAAGCGGAATGAATTAACGAAACCGCGTATAAATAACCCGTAAAACAATACCCGTCTTTCAATCAGTCCAGTAATTAAGTAAATATCCCGTAAGTCAATGAATAAAATCTAAAAGAAAACCGCATAGGTAAACTAAGTCAATTGTACTTAGATATGTACTAAGCTGTATATGTAAGAGTTACTAAGCGATGGTAACGTGATATAAGAATAGAATTAATACGGAATTTACCGAACTGGTTCTAGTTTTGTATGGTCAATAAACGGAAAACCACAATATCAGTGGAAATAGTCTACGATATAATTCTAGTTAGCTTTAAAGATTTAATATTATTTAACAAAAGGTAACTTATAACGTTTTCTAAAAATCAAAGTGAGTTGAATCGGTCCTTAAATGAACTCCAAGAACACAACGGTGTGTTCAAGTCGTGCAATCAAAAATTTAGGTCTTAACGCCCGCGCAAACTTAATATATCCTTGTACCGTAAGTGGTGGAGGGTATAAAACTATTCATTACTATTTAATAATTATGTATCTCTCTTTGCCCAATTATAAAGAGAGAGAGCACAAAACAGCAATAGCGTAACACAAACCAATGTACAATTCTTCGAAATTATTTCACTTGAAATACGTGGCGTATGAGCTACTACATGTAATATGTATTCACGAAATACGCGAGAATTTGTTTCGCTTGATCTACAGATTCCCAGTTTATAAGAGCTTTGTTAAAATGGTAAAATTATTAGTAAAACTCATACATAATTAGTAATTAACTTAAAAAATCAGTAAATAAATAAATATGAAACCAAACCAAGCAAAAAAAAAAAAAAGCAACCAAATAATTACTTACGTTGTTTCTTTTATAATCGTATCTACCAAAGAAGACTTTCTAAAAAAGGAAAAATACATTTTCAAATAAAAAACAAAAAATTTAAATTAAAATGGAACAATTAAAATAATTTTAATCATTTAAACTGAATTATTAATAAAAAAAAAAAAAGAATTGAAAAAAAGTAATAAGAAACAATAATAAAATTACAACTTAAAGACAAGTAGTAAACAAAAGAAATTCTGTCCGCTTCTCGGCAAAACATCAAACATTTTTTACTCAATCATTATTTCACCAATGAGTACTAATGTAAAACAGATGGCGACTAGTGTACGCATAATAGATGGTAGGCGATGACATACGGAGCTCGGGATAGCATTTGCAAAAACGTTTCCGGAACAGAAAACGATGCCCAGCTATTGTTCGCCGAAAACTTTATTGCTAAAAAAAGACAAAAACTAAATAATTTTCCGTCCATACAACAAAACTTTTTCCCATGAAAAATAAAAATAAAATTCAATTTTCATGGAGAAACGAAATGCGACGATTTCTTTTATTCTATTGTTGTTGCTGTTATGTGAAAATTTCTATTGTCTTTGCTCTCCTTGCAAACGACAATATTCCATCTGGTAGATTATAAGTCAAACTCGTTTGTAAAACGGTTTTTAATGTTTATTCGCTAAATTAATTTAAAAAAAACTAAAAGGAAGGACGACTTATCGAGTTTAGTAATTAAATTCCTTTTATCTATCGAATGCAATAACAACCAATTGTCAATTATTGGAAATAGAGAAAGAAATAAAAATCAATATAACTTAAAACACAACTGCGAACTGTTTCCCGTTCTTCTCAATGCCGTTCATTTAACGTGATAGAGGAAATATCCTTTTGTGAATAATTGCTATGAAACTAATCGATAAAAATTTATTATAAAATAATTCTCTTTTTCATAATCATATAAAGCAATTTAAAAAAAAATAAATAAATACATAACAGTAATTGATTCAAATAGATTTGTGTTATGCATCAAAAGAGTTTTGGATGATATTCCGCTCGCTTGTTAATCTCGTGCTTTTCTACTCACACAATGAATCTTTTAAGCTAACGGGTTTTCGATAGTAGTGTGACAATTTGATTGATTCCGATTCCACCTGAAATCCATTATTCTCGCAGCAAATTCCTTTCGTTTCTTTTCCTACTAGTTACAGTAATTGAATCATTTCCACTTAACAGGAATTTGTATATTTATGATAGACAAAAGTCCAAGTCTTCTTTAATATCCTAGAAACAACATGAGTAGAGAGGCTAGCATCTAAAAGTCGCGCCTACCAAATCACGCCTTCAAATCTCAAATGCCGTAGACTATGCTTTGGCTGCGGCTGTAGTGAGTGTGTCTGGCCGGTAAAAGCAGAACGTTTAGGGATCCAACCCACACCAACTAGACTGCGGCCATCACTTCCCTAGCCGTCTTCGCGATTGTCGCCCTATTACACGAGTAGGGGTCTATTAAAAAAAAAAAGAAAAAGCAATATAAAGAAGGAACTCCTTCCATTCCAAAGGTGCAGTAGTCGTGGATCAAAATCTTAAAAGCGGATAGACCGTTCAATAAAGCCGATAGCTTTGGATGATATTTATTTCTCTGGTTACATTAACAACAGTAATAATATTCCAAAAGGATATATAGCTAACTTTATTTATTTATTTCATTTTAGGACTATACTACTTATAGAGTCTAAGTATGAAGATGTTAAGGAAGAAAGTTGCGTAATAGGCGTATGATGGACTTGAGAGTTAAGTAATTAGATAAACACTAAAATTTTCGATAATGAGCAACAAAAAGTAAATGAACAAATGCAATAATATATGACCTCAGTATGACAAAAATGAATGGAATGATAAAGATAGCAAATAATAAGAAGAAGATAATGAAATCATTAAACCATAAGAAGGAAAAAAAATGAAAGTATCAGTTAGAGACGGAGTTTGTTTCAAATTGAGTATGAAGGCAGGATGCTAATGGCCGGCACCATAATGAAATTAATAAAATCCAGTGATGGATCAAACAAATAAAAATTGTTATTATACATCACAAAAAGCACCTGGAAACGGTTACGAAGCTGGTGTAGTTTGTGTGGTAGTGCGATAAATAAATCGATTCACTGCGCTTCCCAACATTTGATATCTTGTTTTTTCAGTGTAATTAGATCAATGAGGATTAAACTGTTTTCATGGGGCGGACATTTCAAAAGAGGATACCACCAGACAGTTTGGAATCATCTGTTGACATAACATCGTCAAGTTTTTCCTTTACCAGCTATTTACCTATAGACATAATGTAGATGCACTCATATGTATATATATATATGTACACAATTCTCTTCTTGCAAGAAATTTGATTTAGGAAAAGTTAAAAAGAAAAAATCTCTTTTTACACGAATTGTTTTGTTTCAACACGAATTTCAATATTCTATGAATTTTTTTATATGAAAATTTTTTCGATAACATTTTTGTTTCTCTGATGTTTCTACGAATTTTTTTCATCCTCACTCCTCATACACATACACATTCCAAATTCCCGATATGTTTTTCATAACTCAGTTAAATTATGTCGATTATAAGCGGAATGCCACGAATTATGGTACAAGTATAATTTATTTGTCTTTTATGTATTTAATGGATGAGAAGGTGTAAGCACGAAATAAATTCTTAAGTGAACTCTAACAAAAGTTTTTTAATATTGTTCATTGTACTTTTCAGTTGCTCGTTAATGCCTGAAACGGATTTTTTCCATTTTGCCAATATCGCTTTTTACACGAATTTTTTGGGAACTTATCTATCGTGCAAAAAAAGAATTAGGTATAAATATATGTCTGTGTACATATATGCATGTTTATAGCCAAAGTTGACGAAAAATTTTCCATTAAATTTTGCAACAAAAAAAACAAAACAGGGAAACAAGACGTCACGCAAAATCATGCAACTAACTATCTAAATTTTCAAAGGATCTTAGATACCTAGATTGAGCTGTTTTCTAATTAAATTTGAAATATAAGATATTTACTTATAAGCCTCATGCATGCCTATGTCAATTGAGTGTCCGTAATTGTAGTTATTATAACTTACACCATCCCTTGTGATATAAGAGTGTATTAAGTTTGTGCGGATGTATGCAACATCACTCGAGATAGACCTACCTTTCGTAATCACCTTTTGTTTGATTTATCTTGATAACTCTTTACATGTAGGTGTAGGGTATTAAATGTGTAGCCCCGTTCCACTATAATATTTTCACTTATTTTCATTAAATGCATCAAAAAAGAAATCAGTTGCATAATACACTTTCGCCGCCCACTTACAACCAGGAAACCGAAGCCATCCGTTCTGCCTCTTCTACAAAACCTAATTTAAGTGCTCCTTGTATTAACGTGTAACAGTATATATACATGGTATATGTACATACAAATAGACAGCAAGTTTTTACATTTTTATTTTTTTTTATTTTCGCATAATATCGATTTATTTATCTTCAATCTCAATGTCTGAACAACGAAAAGCGAGACTGCACACTTCAAGTTACACTTGAAAGCCGCTACAAAAGGAAACGAAAAGAGCCTTAAGATAGATAAAAAAAAAAAAAAAAAAAAAAAAACAAGAAAAACAATTATGATGATATGATACGGAACGGATAACTAACTAAAAGGCAAAACAAACCAAGGTATAGCTAAAACGGAGAGTCGAAAGCATAAAAGAGATAACAAAAAAGAAACCAATAAAAACTGCTCTACGTATATGTACGTCTGGTATTCTTGTTGCAAGTTAAAGGAACACAAAATATTTTAAATATTTAATATTTATTTAAAGTTGTGAAGTAAGCGCTAGCGGATCATCATAAAAACGCAAGCAGTTAAAACAGACAAAGTTTGTAATGAGCCTTAAGACGTTTATGTAACTGTTATATGAATGGCTTAAGCAGAAGTAAATCTGTATATAGAAGAAAAGAGAATAATAATTCCGCATAAATATTTAATGCACGACTGCATAATGAAGACGAAAGAACAAAAAGACACCAGATAGTAAGCAGTTTTTCCTATTCATTTATGTTTATGTCTATGAGTAAAAAATCCTTGCTTTATGAATATGCTCGAAAATAAAGCTTTTAATTACATTCAAATATATGCGAATAGCCAACGAGAACTAACGAGCATCGTAACAACGTTAGATAGAGCTATACGGCTTGCAGTGCAAGATGTTAGCGAAGAGAGCAATTGGAAGCGGATGACGTATCTCTAAGTGAACAGTGACAAGTGAAATGAAACCAAAATCTGATTGGAAATTCTTGTTAACCGTTAAGCAATAAAAACCAAAAATAGAAAAAAAAAAAAAAAACAATGCGGATACAATATTGGATTTTATTTCTACTGAAGTTGATCATTCAATGGTCCGAGAACATAAAATGAATTGTTCTTCTATTCTACTTTGTACAATCACTAACTAATGTAAGTAATTGATTGTAAGGTTTCATTGCAACAATTCCTAAATGAATTCTTTATACTCTCAGTCATATTTACAGATAGGAAACTCAATTATGATTTACTACACATTAGCCGAGTATGCAACAAAAAGTTCGCATCAAACAAGAGGAAACATATATGCAAACAAAGCTTCCATGGTAAAATTTTCCGAGAGAGGTCCCTTGAAGTATCTGTGTTCGTGATCGAATCTTATGATATCCATTGGTGAAACTCGATTCTACAACAAATCTTTTACTTCGCAAAAAATCTACTTTTTTAATTTAATTTTATATAAAACTGTTTTATATGTTGTGCGTGTTCTCCTTTACAATTTAGAAGCAATTTAATTATCAACAACCCAGGACTGCAATAGTTAGTCAAGGCTGGCCATAAGATACCCGAGAGAGATGTTTGGACGGAACACTGACGGGTTGTGACCCAGGGACGACCCTCATTGTAAATACTTCGGGCCGGTCCAGTTTTTCGTCTACTCCCAATATAATGCCTTGTCGTTATATGGCAAACTTGCATAATCAAAATTTTCCGACA